CCCACTGAAAATACACACTGTATATTAATATTATAGTTTTGCTATGAAGTTATCAGATGACACGATTTATGAAGTTATCCATTTTTATTCACAAATAATATATTAACACGTACTCCTTCCTTTTTTTTTAGTAAATGTCATTTTGAGAAGTTACACAATAAATAAGAATATTTTTTTTTGCCAATAATAACTCTCATTAATGAGAATAGAAATGAATGTTTTGAGAAAAAATGAAGAGTGAATATGAAAAGTCGTAGTGTATTTATTAATAATGGAAAAATATGTACAAAAGATCCAAAACGTTATTTATTTAGTTAATTGTTGATAAAATCAAAATGACATTTATAAAAAAAAAGTACTCCCTCCATTTTGAAATATAAGGCGTATAAAGATTTCTCATTTTTTTTGAAATATAAGGCGCGCTCAAAAATCAAGAAATTTTTTTGCATTTTTTTCAAATATACCCTCATTGTGTTGAAATTAAGGAAGTGTGGAGTGGTTGTGATTAGAGTAAATAAGGTTAATTTAGTCAATTTATTCATTAATTAATGTCTTCTTAATATTTGTGCAATAACCTTAAATGCCTTATATTTCAAAATGGAGGGAGTAGTATCTTACAATAAATAAATTTTGGACATACATTAAATGATAGATAACTATAAGAAAACCATTGCTACATAAAATTTCTTATTAGTATTATTATTATGTTTTCTAGTGAGAGAGATAAAGAGACAAAAATTTGGGTATTGACAATTGAGTCAGACTAGCGATACGAACTGTTGACAACACGAAAATCCAAGGAAAATTTATGGTACATTTAAATATTAATATTTTCCCTTCAGTGTAAATGAAAATTGAAAAAGTCAGCTCTTTTATGTCATCATCTCAATTCTCACCACAGGCCACACTCCACTCCACCACCTCCTTTTCTTGTCCACATTAAAACCAGATTTGCTACACCAAAAAGACGCAAAAAATTACTGTTCAGTTGTTGCAGCAAAACTGTCCCTTTTTTCCTATCTTGCACAAGAGGGTTTCATCATCGTCCTCGTATCGCTAATTTGAGCTTGCCATGTCTGAGTAAGCCCTGTTTTATGCTGTTCCCGTTTTCCACCCTAAATTATTTGGTCAAAAGTGCGATAATTTATGGAGTGCTTGAATTTTCTTGTGCGACTGTCGGCTATTGCTTTGCTTCGTTTGCAAGTGATGGGGCGTTGAAAAAGAAATAAAAAATGCATCTTTTGCATAGGGAGTGGACTTTGGTTTGTGAGTTTTGCAATAGTTAAAGAAATTTTTACTAATTTCAGCCTACAAACTTGTTGCTTGGGGATCTGAAACCATGAGAAAATTGCTTCAGCCACATGTTCTGTTCTGGCCCTTTGATTTTCTTTAGTTATTTTACTTTGAGATTGATCTTTGAGATGCATCGGAATGTGGGTTTGAAAATTCTTGAAGTTTGAGTGCTTCTTTTTGTGTTCCACTGGTTGGTATGGTGAACCCGGTTCAACATTTTGGGCTTATTGTTCCCTGTTGGCACTAACCTTGATTTATAATCCTTATCTTGGCCCTGTAATTAAATTTCACCAGATGAATTTGCTGAATTTCGGATTCTTGGCCTGGGTTTCCTGTTTATCCTTGATTCTTGCAACTAAGGCCCAAAATTGCAATCCAAATGATTATGCTGCACTGAGGGGATTTGCAGACCAATTGGTCAATGGCTCAGTCAAGTTTTCTTGGTCTGGTGCAACAAACTGCTGCGAATGGGATGGTGTTGTTTGTGATCTTAATCGAGTGTCCATCTTGAGTTTGCCAGGAAAGGATCTGAAGGGCAATATTTCTGAGTCTTTGTGCAAACTGGATCGATTGAAATTGCTCGACCTTTCACACAATGATCTTGAAGGCCGGCTGCCGTTGAACTTCTCCAGCTTGAAGCAGCTGGAAGTTCTTGATTTGAGCCATAACTTGCTATCCGGGCCTGCATTCGGGCCGATTGCAGGGTTGGCCTCAATTCGTTCACTCAACCTCTCGAGCAATTCCTTCTTGGGGAACCTAACTGATTTTGGTGAATTTCCGGAGCTTCTTGCATTGAACATAAGTAACAACGTGTTCACTGGCCCAATCAACTCCAAGGTTTGCACCTTCTCTAATGGGATTCGGGTTTTGGATTTGTCGTCTAATAAATTTACAGGTGGGCTTGAAGGCATAGAGAAATGTGGTACATCTCTCAAACGACTCCATTTGGACATGAATTCTCTTTCTGGTGAAATCCCAGACTCGCTTTACTCGTTATCTTCTTTAGAGCATCTTACGATTTCGTCCAACAATTTTTCGGGCGAGCTAAGCCTTAAAATAAGTTCACTTTCTAATCTTAAAAACCTTGTCCTGTCTGGCAATAGTTTTTCTGGTTACTTTCCTAATGTGTTGAGTAACTTAACTGGACTCGAGCAACTTGTCGTGCATTCGAATTCGTTCTCGGGCCCACTACCCTCGACTTTGGCCTTCTGCAACAAGCTGCGCGTGCTTGATCTTCGAAATAACTCGTTCTCTGGTACCATCGATCTCGATTTTTCTAGAATGCCCAATCTCAACAGTCTTGATCTGGCCAGCAATCATTTGTCAGGTCATTTGCCAGGATCATTGCCTAGTTGCCAAGACCTGAAAATCCTGAGTCTTGCCAGAAACAACTTAACCGGCCAAATCCCCGAAACCTATGCTAAACTATCCTCCCTCGTTTTCCTCTCACTGTCAAACAACAGCCTCGTTAACTTACACGGTTCCCTAACCGTATTGACAAATTGCAAGAACCTCGCAACTCTCATACTCACCAAAAACTTCCACGGCGAGCAAATCCCCGTAAACTCAACCGGGCTCGAGAGCTTATTAGTTTTCGCCCTCGGAAACTGCGGGCTTTACGGCCGAATTCCAAAATGGATACTAAACTGCCGGAAATTACAAGTCCTCGACCTCTCCTGGAATCACCTGGAAGGACCAATCCCCTCGTGGATCGGCCGCATGGAAAACCTATTCTATTTAGATTTTTCAAACAATTCTCTCTCCGGCGGCCTCCCTATCGGCCTAACCGAACTCAAGAGCCTAATTTCCGAAAAGAGCTACGCGTCCAGCCTCAACATCTCCACTGGAATCCCGCTTTTCGTGAAGCGAAATCAGAGTGCTGGTGGCCTTCAGTACAATCAGGCATCGAGTTTCCCGCCTTCCATCCTCCTCAGCAACAACAGGATCACCGGGCCCATCCAGCCCGAAATCGGACGGCTCAGACAGCTCCACGTATTAGACCTCAGCCGAAACAACATTACCGGCACAATCCCTAGCTCGATCTCCAACATGATAAACCTCGAGGTCTTGGACTTGTCGAGCAACGATCTCCACGGACAAATCCCCCCTTCGCTCGACAGGCTCACCTTCCTCTCCCGGTTCAGCGTAGCCAACAACCGGCTCGAAGGATCTATCCCCACGAGCGGCCAGTTCCCGAGCTTCCCTGCCTCGAGCTTCGAGGGCAACCCAGCCCTCTGTGGGGCCACGATCCCCTGCGCCGCCTCCCGTGTGGGGCCCGCGGGCCCCACCCCTGCCACTACTCGCAAAAGCGGTAAATTTAACCGTGCGGTTATTCTCGGGCTCACGATCGGGCTTGGGGTCGGCATCGGTTTTCTCCTCGTGATCGTTCTCCGGAAAATATCGACGAGGGACGGGCGGGCCCCGGTCGAGGAGGTGGCGGGCCCCGAGTCCGGGCCTCACTCGCCGAAGCTCGTGATCTTCAAGGATGGGGAAGGCTGCGAGGATCTGACGGTGGCGGATTTACTGAGATCGACGAACAATTTCAGCCAGTTGAACATCGTGGGCTGCGGCGGGTTCGGGCTCGTATACCGGGCCGATCTCCCGGGCGGCGGGCGGGCCGCCGTCAAGAGGCTGTCGGGGGACTGTGGACAGATGGAGCGCGAGTTTCGAGCCGAGGTCGAGGCGCTTTCCAGGTGTCGGCACGCGAATCTCGTGGCCCTACAAGGGTACTGCCTGCGCGGGCCCGACAGGCTGCTGATCTACTCGTACATGGAAAACGGGAGTCTCGATTATTGGCTGCACGAGAGGGAGGAGGGCCCGCCGCTCGCGTGGGCCACGAGGCTAAGGATAGCCCAAGGGGCGGCCCGCGGGCTGGAGTATTTACACCGGGAGCCGAATATTGTCCACCGGGATATAAAAACGAGCAACATTTTGCTGGACGGGAAGTTGGAGGCCCACCTGGCGGATTTCGGGCTGTCGAGGCTTGTTAGCCCGTACGAGACGCATGTGACGACGGATTTGGTGGGTACTTTGGGGTATATACCGCCTGAGTACAGCCAGAGCATGACGGCTACATTTAGAGGGGATATATATAGCTTTGGGGTGGTGCTTTTGGAGCTGATGACCGGAAGGCGGCCGGTGGAGGTTTGTAAGGGAAGGGGTTGTCGGGATTTGGTGGGATGGGTTTATCAGAAGAAATCAGAGAGGAAGGAGTGGGAGATATTCGACTCGGCTGTGCAGGAGCGGGATTGTGAGAAGCAGCTGATGGAGTTGTTGAGTGTGGCGTGTTGTTGTATAGAACGGGATCCGAGGAGGAGGCCATCCATCGAGGCCGTTGTTTCGTGGCTTGAGGCGATTGAGATAAGGAAAGGTTGAGAANAGTTGAATGTGAAATATATATATGTCAGCTGAAGGCAAAGCTTTTTGGCTGGAAATGAAAAGTTTCCAGAATTCATCTCTATACCTAATAGTTGACACATGGTCACATCTTTACCCAACTTTTAATAGTCTGATGTATTAATATGGTGAAATGAAAACAGGTTCGTAAAAAAGTTCTAGTTAAAATAGATTATAGTACCCTTTTCTGGTCCTATCTGTTGTGCCAAATTCCAAATATCAATGCTGAAATGATTAAATGTACTTGGAATAAACTGGGCCTAATTTAAAAATTGAGCAATGTCGGACCTGGATTTTTAGACCACAACCCGTCAGGCCAGAAAAGTCCCGAAAGTGTTGGGTCTCGAAAATTGGGGGTCCATCCCAAAGGAACGGAAATTCGGGCTGCCCCAGCAGGCCCATATGTATGGGTCCGTGGCCATGAGGTGGGGGTCCGAGTAGCTCATATTGCAAACTTGGTGTTGGTAGTAGGGGCTGCAGGCTCTAAAGCCGTCGGCTTTACCGAATGGGAAGTTGATCGGGATCGGGCTGCATGAAGTTCGCAGCAACGGGCTTTTCCTGGCCTTTGTTGGGCTCATGGAGTGGGGTATGAGTGCTAGTGTGAGGAGGCATAGATTAGAAGAGGACTGAAAGTTGAAATTATGGTTAATGAAGCGTGAGCCATTTGTTGAGGAATTCACGCATTGTTATTGTTGTTGTTTTCATAATTTTCTAACTAAGTAGTTGGTAATGATCCCACAAAATTACAAAAGTTATTTATCTTGTACAATCAATATTAGTGATTCATGTGTATTCAAATAATTTATATTTATATTGTTCATTAATATTGATCAAATTTATGAAATGCGATGTATCTATTATTTATTAAATAAATTCAATATACATGTAATTATAATATTTTATAATTTATTTTTATGCATGTGCATGGATCAGTTATTGTTTATATAAAATTCTATGGATTTTTTATTAATATAACGCTTCAAAAATTCAATCAAACTTAAGAGTCTTACCTTCATAATGTTATGAGTTTTAAATTATTTTTCAATACAAATATTAATAACTACCGAAGGAACAGTATTAAAAGTCCCAAAAAGACTCAATTATTGTTGTGTCTAAGTTCTTAACACTCTAGTTAAGAAAAAAATCTTATAATAAACCTTATTTATTGTTTGATCTAACTCCAAAAAGTAAATGAAGAGTTATAATCAATTTATATATTTACTTTCTTATGCTATCGATGTCTAGTTTTATGTCACATATATCTGAAA